TTTGGATGCACCCAAACGCCGTCGGATCACGCGCGTATCGTCCCCATTAACTCCGGTAATGTCTCCCGGGATTCGTTTCATAAATGAGGGCGCGAGTAGGGACCGGGCGACGGCGAGTAGTGTGTGCGGGCGCTGGGTGGGGAGAGATCCGTACGTACGGGCCATCATTTGTTGCACCTCCGATCTGCCATTAAAGGAGTAATTAACCCGCTTTGCGCGCGCGCGCCCGCGGCGCGATAGCGTACGTGGTAATAATAGTAGGCGTAAACACCAGGTGCCAGGCCGCCGCGTCATCATGAATAGCGGCGACGACGGCGAGTCGACGGCAGTCGGGCAGGTCGACCGAGGTTCGTCAAAGCTGCCATTGATCACTGTTTGATGCTAGTATATCGCAATAATGAGGTCGCAGATCGCACCATTAGTCGTCGTCCATGGCGCCATTAACTCATCGGTGGAAGCTTTTAGACCGGCGTCCGGCCGCCCGGCGGCGGGGGCCCCGGACCAGGCGCAGAGGCTGTTGCCGCGACGGCGACACGATGGGACTCGCCGGATCCTTGGACGGACTATTAAGGCGACGGCATCAGTTAATGACGAGTTGATGGCGATGTTTGTACGGGTCCATGGATATATATGGATGCATATATGGGCACGCGAGCAGGGCCGCCACTGAGATTCTGCCGACTTTAAATATAAATCGATTGGTCGGGAGGTATTTGTATTTGTAGGAGGGAATTTTTGAAATCGAAGTGATGAGATGAGGGACTATTTATGTGGGGAAAAACTACTAGAATAGTTAACCCTGTTGTAGTATATACTACGAATCTTTCAATTTAGCAAATAAAGAAAAACGTGCCGTACGTGTCCTGTACATATGGCGTTGATGATGTAATGCGAACACTATGGACGCAATCTTTTGTTACAAGATAACAAAGAGTACAATTATTCAGATCAGAGGACTGTTGTTACGTTGTCCACAACATTTTCGTACTCATACATCATCCTCCTTCACCCACCACCAAAAGTTGACAGCCCTTTTAATTTATTGTGCACCCAGATGTTCATTATTGACTCATCATCAAGAAGTTATACCAGGATCATCAATTGGTTAGTCCGATCGCCAACACATCCTAGACTTTTAAGGTCCCGTTCGCTTCGCTGAAAAAATAAGCCGAAACACTGTTCTGCCTGATTTATTGTGAGAGAAAACACTATTTCGACTAAAAAAATAAGCTGAAAAAGACGGATTATAAGAGAAGCGAACAAGGCCTAATTCATAATATACTCCGTAGCATGTAGTAGTATTATAAAAAAGAAAAAAAAAACATCTGACTACTGCACTTTAAATGGCGGATTCAGTGAATTATCTACAATTTTGATCATTATAGTTAGCTACAAGCTACTAGCTAGCTAGCTTAGGGTGCAGCAGTAGGCACACTAGTAGAGAACAGACCTTTCATCCGAGGGCAAAATAGGTTCTAGTCCCGATATTTTCTGCGCCCGGGACTAGAGAGATCTTTAGTCCCGGTTGGTGTCTCCAACCGGGACTAAAGGTCCCTGCCCAACGGCTACTGCGCTCGGCACAGTGGCAGGGGACCTTTAGTCCCGGTTGGAGATACCAACCGGAACTAAAGGTGAACCTTTACTCCCGGTTGGAGCCACCAACCGGGACTAAAAGTCCTCCAACCTTTAGTCCCGGTTGGTAACACCAACCCGGACTAAAGGACCCTTTAGTTCCGGTTGGTAACAACAACCGGGACTAAAGATCTCCCGATGGGTTAGTTCAAAAGGGAAGCATCCCATCCATTGTTAGATGTGTTGTGTAGGTGGGGTGGTAAGCTACGCGCGAGGCAATGCATGAGGTCTTGGGTTCGAATCTCACGGGACACAGCGGTGAGAGACATTATTTTTTTTAAAGCTAGGAGGACCTTTAGTCCCGGTTGATATCCCGGTTCCCGACCCGGGCCTAAAGGGGGAGGTTCTTCACCGGAAGTAAAGCAACACGTACGTCTGTGCTACGACGGCGAGTACACGTCCATCATCATCATTCGCGTCACGCGTTTTAGGTATCTCGACCCGTCTCTCTCTCATCAGGACATACAGTGTGTATACGTGCATCACGCATTCATACGCACGTACTGATTCAAATCGTCTCGTAGCACAACGTTCGATCGCATGCACATCTAGGACGACGAAGAGAGATGAATGAATGATGCACTAGTAGCTAGCCGTACGTGCGCACGCCACATACATGTAGCTATAGACTCTTTTTTCTCTCGACCTGATCGATCGATGCCATTGCCATGCATGACGTCCGTCATGCCAACGCGTCAACTTTTTTTCGGAATCGATCGAGAAAGCTAGCTTTGGGTCGCGGTACACGTACGAGCCGCGCTATTACGTCCTTGGATCCGGCAGATCGAGCTGCACAAGCGCAACACAATGCATGCATGGGCTGGCTATGGCTAGATCACATATCGCGGACGTAACTCCACGGATTTTGCCAATATCGGCGTAAGGCTGTGCCAAGATATCGATGCGTGATCACCATTCATCGCGTCTCGATTTTTTTCCCGCCCTGCTGCCCAACGCAACGGCCGGAACATTCACAGTCGTATTAATCCCTCATCACCGGACGGGCTGGCACTGGGAGTAGAGTAATAATTAAGCACTAGTGCTGGACTGCTGGCGATCGATCGAGGACGTAGTGGCGTAATTACGTACGTCCACTTTATCTGATCAACCATCAGGCTTTTGCTTTTTGGGGTGGGAATGGTGGTGGACTGGTGGTTGCTGTATACTGACCGATCGATGACCGGGGGCCGATCGCCAGCTGCCGCTTCTCTCGCTCCTCGCCATCTGGATGACGTGAAATTAAGCTTTGCTGATTATTTTTCAGCATCAGTTATGCTTCTTTATGATGCAATGCAAGGATCTCACAGAGTACACGGACGACTAAGGGCCTGTTTGGTTACCACATTCTCTCCTAAAATTTCTGTCATATCGAATGTTTGGACACATACATAAAGTGTTAAATATAGACTAATTACGAAACTAATTACATAACTTGCGACTAATTTACGAGACGAATCTTTTAAGCCTAATTAGTCCATGATTTGACAACATGTTGCTACAGTAAACATGTGCTAATGATAGATTAATTAGGCTTAAAAAATTCGTCTCGGAAATTAGCCTCCATCTATGTAATTGGTTTTATAATTAATCTATATTTAATGCTCCTTATTAGCATCTAAACATTCGATGTGACATAAATTTTAGAGCGACTAAAGAACCAAATACCCCCTAATAGTCACAAGAAAAATATAATTACTAATCCACCACCAGCTAGTCAGCTACTGCCAGCTGTAAATTGTAATATAGGCAGGAGCAGTCGTCCTTAGAACCATTTTAATTTACCATTTACTATGTTTTTGCGCCTAACATAGTATATTTGCTAATTTCACGTTATCCAGATGGGTTGGTACACGATTTATACTCCTATTTATAAGGTGTTTATGGTCAAAATAAACTGAAATTAGAAGCCAAACAACACGCCTTTTCTCGCACGTTCCTCCCACAACATTCATTTTGTAACTAAAACAACTTGTTTTGATTGTGTTTTTCCTTCTATATATATATATACACGTATCTCATCAGATAAGCGTCTTTTCTCTGTTAAACAGGGTCTACTCCCTCCGTCCAAAAAAAAAAAAAGCAACCGTGTCTATGTTCAAAGCTAGGATTACGTCTTTTTGGACGGAGGGAGTACAATACTTTTATGGCAATCGGAGGTTTTGACAAAATATGCCTGAGTCTCCTCTTAATATAATAATCTAGAACCGCGTCCTAATAAGTTGCCCCAACTGATATTGTCTTTTTAAAAAAAAGAAAATTGTTCTCCTTGTCCTAGAAAAAGAACACAAACATTATTATTTTTCTTCCTCGGACACGACACCTTTCCTGGTCTTTGCATTGCATCAGCCATCATCCATCACAGAGCTCCATTTTCCCTCTTCCTCCCCGCGTGACTCCGTGACAAAGCACAAGAGCCAAACACCCCACAACTGCCGCTGGAAGCTTGTGGAGCGCGGGCCCCACCACCTCCCTGCATCTCCCCGGCTGCGTCGCATTCCTCTCGCCGCTGCTGTGCCACCCCCATACGCTACTCTGACCTCTATAAATCAGCCGCCCACACGTTCCCCGCCACCCCCATCCAGCCATCCATCCTCCCGCGCTAGCCGTGCTACCTCCGGCCGCGGCATCCTCACCTCTCCTGTTCCACGAGCCAACCGTCACCGTCACCGCTGCCTTCCTGCCGATTGCCGCCGCGCTTGGGCCGCCAGCCAGCCAGCCAGTGCTGTTCCCGCGGGCTGGGCAGCTTGCGTTGCCGTTGCGTGCGTTCTTGGCCACCACCTGGACGGTCGCTGTTGCCTCCTCGCCTCCCAACCCCATCCTGCTTTCTTCGGTGTCGCTGTCTTTTGGGCTCTCCCCCGGCCCGTCGCTCTTCCTTCCTTTTGCTTTCCCACCTCCTGCCTGCCCCTGCCCCGGCGCTCAGCAAGCCAAAGCAATCATGGAGGCGCGGTGGGTTCGTTCCTGACCTCCGTCCCGTCGTCCGCCGCTGTCCCCCCTCGTCGACAAATCACGCCGCGCCTTTTCTTTTCTTTCCCAGTTTCAGGTGTTGTTTTGCCACTAGCTGCTGCTGCTGCTGGCTTTTTACCGGCTTTCGCTTTTCTGCTCTCTGCATCATCAGCCTCCTCGCCCCTCCCCGCGTCGTCTCTGCTCAGCTTATTCGCTTTCTCTTCCGTTGGGAGCCGCGCCTCAGAATCAGGTGCCGCTGGCCGAGTTCCCCACCTTCCTTGTTCTTGCCAGGCATTCGCTCCAATTTTGCCCAGCCAGGCCTTCGAGCCGATCGATTGGGGGCACAAACTCTTGAGACTTTTCCTGCTTTGAGGCAGCTTCCTTGTTGGGTTTTGCTGCTGCTCTGACTTTACCGGCGAATCCGGATGCTTCTGGGCGCTGCTGCGAGGATGGAGGAGAAGGGGGCGATCACGGGGAGGCAGCGGGACCAGTTCCCCGTCGGCATGCGGGTCCTCGCCGTCGACGACGACCCCGTGTGCCTCAAGGTGCTCGAGACACTGCTGCGGCGCTGCCAGTATCATGGTGGGCACTTCACTTGCTTTTGCTTCATCCATCCATCCCCACTGTGTTATTACTGTTCTATTATTATCTGCCGCTAGGTAGGCTTTCACTTAATTACCAATAATTACCACTAGTCACTTTGTACATGTAGATAGTAAAAAAAATGTGTCGGCACTGCAACTGCACTTTGTACAATCTGCACATCCAGGACACTGCTTTTGCTGCTGTCTGCAATTTATCATGTACTAACCGTCACTTAAATGTTCTCTGCGGCTTGCAATACTTACCACATGCGGAGTAAATTTTTATCCTTCCACGATCTGACATGTTTGTCGCTGGGGCATGCTGCTAATGCAACTCATTATTATCTTGCTGATTAGACTGTTGTAATAAACTGATAATAAGAGTGCCCTGTGCTTCATTGACAGTAACAACGACCAACCAGGCCATCACTGCGCTGAAGCTGCTAAGGGAGAACAGGGACATGTTTGATCTGGTTATCAGTGATGTGCACATGCCCGACATGGACGGATTCAAGCTCCTTGAGCTTGTAGGACTTGAGATGGACCTACCTGTCATCAGTAAGCTTCAAATCTTCCTGTTCTGTTCGTTCAGTCCTATTCTAGCCATGAGATGGGCTTGCTGAGCAATGCTGTTTCCACATGTAAAACGTGGATGCTAATCATGTACATTCTGTGGCAGTGTTATCAGTGAACGGGGAGACAAAATCTGTGATGAAGGGGATAACTCACGGCGCCTGTGACTATCTCCTAAAACCTGTTCGTGTCGAAGAGCTTAGGAACATATGGCAGCATGTTGTCAGGAGGAAGTTCAGTAAGCGCGAGCGCAGCAATCTTGACATCTATAAAGATTTCAACAAGTTACCAAGCACAGATCCATGCCACGGCCACAATCAGATCATTGCTGGGGCTTGTGACCAGAGTGGGAGGATCAGCAAGAAGAGGAAGGAAATGCATAGCGACGAGGAAGATGACGGCGAGGAGAATGATTTCCAAGAAAGTGATGAACCCTCGGCGGCTAAGAAGCCAAGAGTTGTTTGGTCAGTTGAACTGCATCGGAAATTTGTTGCGGCTGTCAACCAGCTTGGAATTGATAGTAAGAACTGCCAACCCTCCCTTTTGCTTTATGTTATTGTCCTTACATGTTGCAGCAACTCATTTATGTTTTGTCCTTTATTTTGCTGTTGTTGCAGAAGCTGTACCGAAAAGAATTCTTGAGCTTATGAATGTGGAGAAACTCACCAGGGAAAATGTCGCAAGCCATCTACAGGTATGGCATTGGCATGCACTCCTAGCATTAATTGCTGTTACTGCTTTACTTCCTCCTCTGTCTATTTTTTAGCCTGTGATGCATATGAACCAAAACCTTAATGGGAAGTGGGTCCAGCATCATGGGCCAAACCATCAGATTTGTTATTGTTAAAATATTCACTTACCTAACTATCGTTGAAACCAAGTGTTGCTTACCATAGCTTAGGCTGGTGCTAAAATATCATGAAAGATATTATTTCAATTTTGATGTTTTTGTGTTTGGGCATTTGTTCAGTTGGTTTGGAACAATCTACTAATTGATGCAAATCCGTGTTATTTAATTTCTCTGCAACCCTAAATATAGAGATAGTTCATGGAAAAATATATTGCTTACTCTGCTTTCGAGCATGACGATGAGTAGATTAAGGTTTTATACAAACTACTACAAATTTCCAGATTGGTTGTATACATAGTACAAAGTACAAATTCACCTCATTTTCTTATGTTTCCAATTTTACCACCCTCAGTCTACCATTTACCTTTAGTAAAAAAAAAAGTAGTGGACTAAGCTGGAAAGCAGTCACCTGTACTTATCTCATGCAGGGTTATATATAAGTTGTGGTACATACTTATGTTAATGCCTGCCTAATCAGTTAGTGTTGTGTGATATGCAGAAATACAGGCTCTTTCTCAAACGGTTAAGTGCTGTGGCATCACAACAAGCTAGCATTGTTGCCGCTTTTGGAGGTAGAGATCCCTCATTTCTTCACATGGGAGCCTTTGAAGGCCTTCAGAGTTATCAACCTTTTGCCCCCTGTGCTGCTCTATCATCCTTCAGCCCACACGGCTTGCTAGGTAGAACTAGCGCCGCAACATTCGGGGTCCCAGAACTTGCTCCTGCCATGACAGTTCAAACTGCTACCAACAATGGCATAATAAGCCACTGTGCTGGTGATGCAAACAAATTTCAACTCTCTGGTTTACAAGAAAACCAACAAGCAAATTTGGGACAAGGCTCGGCCACATCTCTTGGGCTTCCCCAACTCCAACAGAAGTGGATCCAGCAAGAAACTAATGACTTGTCTGCTGTCTTTTCTGGAAGTGCACTGGCTAACACTCTGTCTGGTGCACTTCAGAGAGTTACAAGCAGTCCATTGCCACCACAAGAACTTTTGGAGAGTGCACAAACCAAAGTTAGTGCCCAGCCACCAATAACAATGCCATCTGTGAGTTCAGAACTTGTTGAAAGGACTGTTGGAGTATCGGCTAATTTGCAGGACTCTAGTATATCCCAGCAGGGTGCTCTTCCAATAAATGATGGATTTACTGCTGACAAGTTACAGTTGCATGATCCATTTGATAGCACTGGTGGAACAAAATTTTCAGTAAACATGCTTGTCTGTCCTTCTGGTAGCATTACAGCATCCAGCAATACCAAGGGTGGTGCTAGTTCTTGCAGTACAGTGCTGCTCGCTCCTGATACTGGGAGACATCCAAACTACTTGCAGTTTGGAGTTGCAGGCAACTCTAGACATGACATGAATGAAATTAAACAGGACCATCTACATCAAGGATTGAGCACTGGAAGTTTCAACCATAATTTTGGAGCCTGTATGACTGAACAGACAAATCCAAATGTGCCATATCTTATGCCACAAATGAAGCCTAACACCATGGCATCAGAAGATAAACTGAAGCAGAGGAATATTTATGATTTGGGGATTCCAAAGCTCCATGGTGGTTTTAACTCTAGTAGCTGCAATTTTGATGGTCTTCTCAATTCCATGGTCAAAGCGGTATGGACCCTTAGATGTCATTGTTCTTTCTATTTGTTTTTATAAAATTCCTACAGCTTTTCTACATGAAAACAAACTAGTACTAGTAGATTCAATGCTTTTTCTGTTGTCTTCACTCTTAATTTTGCAAGTTACAAAGCCTTCCCTAACTTCAGGAATACCTATCGACATTTTGACCAACTGAAAGTACTTGAAATGCTACACTCTTGTAAAAGAAAAATTGTAGAGCCAAATGACCCCACAGAACATGTATGATCCTTCAAATCCGATTTGTTGAAGCCTTGTTTTTATTCTAATGCAGGAGAAGGATGATCTCTCATTCACGGATAACGACTTGGGGTGCGACTTCTTTCCACTTGGTGCTTGCATATGAGACCTCTTAATAATCCCTCGTGCAGATTGGTCCTCTATGGGATGGGTCGATGCCTTGATGGGTGGAGATTGTAAAGTAGACTATTTAGGAGTATTAGCTAGTTATGCTGCCTGATGTGTTACTATGCCTGGTACTGTGCACACTAGAAATACTAGGGATACAAGTAGCTAAGGATATGGCTTGTAATCTGCACTTTCTCCTTTCCGAAAGGGAAATGGAAGTGATTATGGTTAGGTAAAAAGGAGCAAATATAATGCTCCAACTTCATATCATCATCATCGTAAAATTTATCAAATTTTGTTTCCACATGACATTTGCGCTAAAGTTGGAGCCCACAGCACCATTGTGCAGATGACATTATAACGTGATTTGATCTCGTTGACTTTCCAGAAGAATGAAAAAAAAACTTTGTAGATGAGAAGTAAAATTCGGATGCACCTGAGCTGGTTACAACAGAAACTAAAAAAAGAAGCAAATATAGATAAGTAAAATCCAGATGCACCTGAGACACCATTGTTTAACTGCTAAAAGATAATTAAAAAAAAAAACTGCTAAAAGATACATGTTGCTGATGAACCCTAGGCCTAGGGTACTAACTACTAAGACACTACAACTGCGCGCAATGACCAGATGGATGCTGTGATCATCGCCCTCCTAGTCGACGAAACCTCTGATTTCTTGCGTTCTTCACCCGATGCAGAAATGCATTCTGTCAATTCTCACGTTTGCAAACACTGCGAACAGCTTCCACTATCTTTTGCCGTAATATTGGCTTTGTCAGGTGCAGATCCATCCCGGCATCGATGGCCTTTTGCAGATCCTCCTCCGTGTCAGCCGCGGTCAATGCGATGATCGGAGTGTGAACTCCGTAGCTTTGTTCTTCCTCGCGGATGAGTTTGGTCGCTTCATAGCCATCCATATTGGGCATCTAAAATCAAAGAAGACATATTAGCAATGTCAGGCAATCATCAGATGGAGCTTTGTGTGTGCACATGCAGAGTTAACAAGTTTTGGTTGAACAAACCTGGCAATCCATGAAGACAACATGGTAGGGCAAGGGCACTATATCCTCTTCTGACACATTGGCCTGCTCAAGAGCTTCTTTGAGCAAGTTCACAGCCACGGCTCCATCTTCAGCTACTGTGACAGTTGCTCCAAGCTGGTTCAGGATTTTCCTTTGGATTGTTTGCAGCACTACAGTGTCTTCAGCTAGCAAGATCTGCATCCCAGCAAGAGGCTTATCATCTTCAGGCTTCTGTTCCTGAACCAAGCATGAAACTTCAGTTGATGCAGCAGCTTCCTGCACACAAGGAACAACAACATCTGGCAAACCTTGCTGCTGGCTGTTGTTCCCAGCAATCTCAGGACCAACTTGAGAAGACTGTGCTTGTGCATCTGAAGCCTGGAGGTCTCTCAGGGTCATAAGGAGAGTGAACAGGCGAGACCCATGCACCGGCTTTCGCAGGACGAGATCGCAGCCCTGCTCCTTGAGCCACCTCAGATCACTGGAAGGGGTCTTGATATCCTCCAGCAGAACAACTTTGCATGGAGCCTGTTGCTTGTTCCTGGCAAGTTTGGCCATCTCCTGGCAAATTTCTTCCAATCCACCACCGGACACGTCGATGACAACAAGGATACCAGAAGGAATCCCCCCAAGGCTGGCTCTCCTGGGACCAGTGCTGTTCCTCAACTGGTTCACCATCTCCTTGGAGCTGAAGCACCGGTCGCCGCCGCCGCAGTCAGCGGCAGCGGTGGCCATGCTATTGCTCTGCACCTTCTCCAGCGTGGAGCTGATGAACTCGGCTTGCCGGACCAGCCAGACTTTGACTACAATGCTCTCCATCCATGTCTGCAGGATCCTCCTGGTTTCAGACCCATGAACGTAGAGAACACAGTGCACGCCCTTGAAGCTGCTGGCTTCTTGAAACGCTGAGGCTCTGAAATTGGAGCCGTTCAGTGTGCCTGCTGATGGAACTGATGGTCCTTCTTCTATGTCTTGAGGCTGTTGCACCTCGCTCATCTTCAGCAGCACGTTGAACGCGAAGCATGTTCCCCTTTCCCCGGGCTCTTTGTCCTTGATGCTAATCTCTCCTCCCATCAAGCGTACCTGTGATCATGAAGACCAACATAAAAAATCAGCCAAGACCAAAATTTTATTTATAAAGAAAATGGACAGGATTTATTTATATATATTTGATTTGATTTGAGTAGTAACTTACAAAGGACTGCACGATTCCGAGCCCCAAGCCTGTGCCGCCTTGGCCATTGTTCACCTGAACATAGTTCTCAAACACAGACAGCCTCTTCTCCTTGGGGATCCCAATGCCGGTGTCAACCACTTCAAAGTAAAACTCTACCAGATTGGGGTCATTCTGCACATGATCCTGGCCATCAGGATCCTCCCTTCCTCTGAACAAACGTGCCAATGAACCGCCGCTGCCGCGCGCAAACCTTGACGGAGCGCTGACGCCGCTCCCGGCGATCGGCCGGGTCGCCCAGCCCCGGAGGACGACGTGGCCTTCGTCGGTGAACTTGAGCGCGTTGCCGAGCAGGTTGTCCAGGATCTGCTTGAGGCGCTTGCTGTCCCCGAGGACGGCCGCGCATCGCAGGACCGAGAAGTCGCAGGGGTCCCAGATCACCTCCACTCCTCTCCGGACGCCCGTCACGTTGGCCATGTCCACCGACTCCTGCAGGACGTCGGCCATGCTGAACTCGGCTTCCTCCAGCTGCATCTTCCCCGACTCCACCTTGCTTGTGTCTAGGATCGAGTTCAGTATATCTACAGAAAACAAATCGATCATATACATGACCTACTAGGTTCGAATTGATATTGTTCTACAAATAATATATCTCCTGAAACAAAATTGCTACGATCATAGTATAACATTTATACTTATATTAAGTTTCAAAAAAACATGTACTTATATTTAGTATACGGCAACTAGCCCTGTTTTTTTTTCGAGAACGTGTGCTGCACGTATTTCGTTAAAAAGAAGGTTCGAAGTACCAACAACGGCATGCCATGGCGAGGTGCCAGGCGCCAACACGAACACGAAAGAGTTACACACCGGATGTCTACATATTGGCTAACTGAGCGACTACGACTGAACCCCCAACTGAAAGAACTTCATGTGCCCACCAACAACGCGAACAGGCACGAACAAGGCCTTGTACCTAGCTTGTAGCCAAAGGTTACCCTCGGCGTGGATGGTAACGGCCAAGTTCTGGGCAGTCGCTGATGTAGCGTTGAGGACGTCTGAACGACGGGCGCGACTATTTAGTCCACGCACATTCCACACAAGGATGTTTGCTGTACTCATGGTTAGACAGTGGAGCGACTACCGCAACTAGCCCTGTTTGATAGATAATCTGTAGTCTGATTGCTGATGAAACACCTGCGAACTCCGTTATATGTAGCTGGCACCTTTCCTAGTTGAACGTTTTAATTGCTAACCTATATTAGCAGCATTAATCCTTCCTATTGTAGCTGAGAAAATACAGCAGATCACAAACCCTACATTTTTGCTAGTATTAACTGGTGGATCAGTAGACCATATATAACATTGAAAACATCATATTAGTTGCACCCACCAATATTCCTACTTTCCTAGCTAGACGATGATGAACAGAACAAAGCTTGATGCAAATTATATTATTAATTAACTCGAGATCAGTTCAGGGTTCAGACTTACCGAACAGCTTGTTGGTGCAGATGCCCATCTGGTCGAGGTTTTCCACGATGCCTGGGGCGGGGAGCGCCTGCGCCTCCGGACGGGACATGTCCACGAGGCCGGCGATGGCGGCCAGCGCGGACCGGATGTCGTGGCTGGCGCTAGCGAAGGCATTGCTCTTGTTCATGCTCTTGCGCTCCGCCTGCCGCAGCGCCTCCTTCTGCCGGACCAGGTCGGCGTTCAGCGCCATCTCCCGCGCCGCCGCCCGCCGCAGCGCACGCACCGCGAAGGCGCAGGACACCACGCCTACCACCAGCAGGGCGCACGCGAAGACGATCACGGCGATGCACAGCGCCTGGATCATGTGGCCCTGGACCGGGGGCCGGAGTACCAGCCGGAGAGCCTGCGGGAACGAGGACGAGGACGACGGCGTCACGACTCAGGGAAGCATGCATGCATGTGTTGGATCAGGAGAAGACAAGCACCGTGACACACCCGGACGTTGGGCGTTGGCCCAAAAGCCCAAGGGTGTGTGTGTGTTTTTTGTGAAAGGAAAATATACATTATTAACATGGAATGCATGCGTATCGTATCAGCATTTAGGAAAGGAAAATACTCGATCGATGCTATTAAGGATCAAGTAATATCTGATGGATCTCTCGGAAGGATTGCGCGCTGTATGATATACTACTTGCCACGTCATTAATTGACAAAAATAGCAGACGCATACGTGTAACACTACTCTTTTTGTTGCACACACGTACGTACCACTTGTACTCCGGAGACGTCGAGCATGGCGCACGCGGCTTTGTACCGGTTGTGCTTGGGGCCCCCGGAGACGAGCTGGCCGAGCTCGGGCGCGGTGTCGTCAATGGTGGAGGCGGCGCACTTCAGCTCGGAGAACGTGAGCGTGTCCTCCGCCGTGTCGTCGGCGGTGCGGTGCTGGTAGCCAAGCAGCAGAGGTTCGTAGTTGGCGGTCGCTGATGACGCGAAGTCGTCCTTGTCGTCGCCGACCGCGTAGTACACGTCCAGGCCGTCCTGGACGCCGATGCGTGAGGCGGCGGCCTCGAAGACGTCGTGGACGGAGACTGCTGCCGAGACCACGCCGCCGCCGACGGGCGCGGAGAAGAAGAGCATCCGGACGCCCGGGCGGGCCCACCCTTCCCAGAGCGACGCCGCTGGCGGCGAGGCGTTGTTCTTGCTCGCGACGAGAGGGGCCGCCTGCGTCGTCGTAGTGTTCGGCAGGAAAAACCCATCTGTGGCGGCGGCGGCGGCGCTCCCGACCAGGCGGCCGGTCGCCGGGTCCACCGGCTGGGTGCACCACCTCTTCTGCGAGTCCGTGAACAGCGCTCTCGCCTCGCCGCGCTCCGTGCGGTAGAAGGCGAACGCGTGGCCGTCGGCGCCGGCGTACGACACCTGCGCCAGCAGCGGCTGCATGGCGAAGGCCATGAACATCTTGGTCCTCACCTGCCACGTCCACGTAAGCATGCAACCACGTGTCAGTTGTGACTCAAGTCGCGTACATATATAAGACAAAAATGACAGATATATGGAGTGTAGTAATGGCGACAACGGAAATGGAAATAAAAAAATAAAGCTAGCTAGCACTTGGGAGATCGAAGCTGGTGATGGTTCGTCGTTGGTCGCGGGCTCCCGAGCGGCGTCGGCGATGGCGACGGCGGAGCGGTTGGCTTCCATGAGCGGCTGCATGTTGCCGGCGACGTGCCGGAGCGCCAGACCCATGGTCTCTACGTTGGCTTCATCTATAGTTCTCGTCGTTTCCCTCAAGGAGAGCAAAAGCACCACAAGGCTGAGTACCATGACGACTCCGACGATTGCCTGCATATAGATGTGAATGCGAGTGAGGAACATTGCTTGACAGTAAAATATAATCCACACATTTGAGCGTTCCATGTGAAAACTTCACTCCTGTCTAATAAAAACTGCGGCGAATTTTTTTGTCGTGTCCTTCTAAAACAATATGAAAATTCACCCGTGTGTTCATCTTTTATTTCATGGTTTTCCATCTTTATTTGCAACAAATGACCAGGTACAATGTTCCTTGTATCTGTATAATAACAAAAGTTGGTTCTAAATATCCTCAAGAGCAATGCTAAATTTTATGAAAGTAATACTTCTTCTAACTGATAAATAAAGCTCTCGTGTAGCCTGAAAGATGGATGTAGTTTTTTATACCAAAACGATTGTAATATACTGAAAGGAGTAAATAAAAAACATAACAAGATTCTCAAACGTTTCCACCGATACATATTCTCCCCCTCCCCTTCCCCCTCCACCATCCACCACCATGGCAGATCTAGAAATATATCCTAGGAGACGTCCGTACTCCAACGGCGATGTGTGTGTGGTGGTGAGGTTAGGGGAGGAAGGGGTAGATCTAGGCCTCAAGGTGATGAATCCGCCTGACCCCGACCCCCCCAAAAAAGGTTATTCAACGTATATGGAAAAATGCTCATTTTAACTCACCAAATATTTTTACTAGATTCATAAACTATTATAGTAAAAAAATAGTTTTAGATCCTGTTTAAGATTAGTCATGGTAAAACAAACATAATAAGAAGCTAGATGCAACTACCAATGCAACAAAAAGAGCCATGGGAAAGTGCTGGTCGTCTGTGACTAGCAGTCCTTACCAGGGGTAAAAGCATACACAAGTACTGGAGAAGGCATTTGCTTGCTTCTCTATTCGTTTCTACAGTCACCATGACTTTTGCCTACTCGTACTTGTTTTTGCCTTTGACTAGTGAGTTGACGAGTGTCTTTGGGTCGCCGCGCGCCGCCTTTTTATAGACGCCCCGAGCTCGGCCGGGAAACCAGGAGGTAGAATACCACTAGCGGTTTGGCTCGACACTGCCTCTGGTTTTGATGAGCGATCCATAAGCGCGGTTTTGCTCCCTTGTGTAATGGCAGCAAAATGATATAGGCTCTATCACCTGCAATAAATATTGGCCAAATTATAAACAAATCAATTTAATAATCAAAAGGATTTCTTTTCTCCCCGTTGAGAAAGTTGTCACGTGTGTGGACGCGTGGTGTGTTTCAGCACGGGCCGTGCACCGAGGCCTCGGACGTGCGTGCTCACGGCGTGTGCTCGCCAGCCACAACCATACATCGCGCTGTGGAGAGTGAAACTACGCGGCCGTCTATTTTTAAAATAAAATCTTTTTTTACTAAGCATTCATTTGGCTTAGTTGTTTTACTTCTTAAATTTGCATGATCTTATTGATTCTTATAGATATGCTTTGACTGAGATGTATAGATGGTTCGACATTATTGTTAGAGATATACATACTAAACCGCAGCTACAAAACCAGAAAACCACTATGGGTGGGCCTAAGTATTGCCCCACAACCAATTTTGAACTTTGACTTGTAAACTTTCAATGTATGACCAAACTTACAAATGACATGATGTGAAAAGTGTGTAAACTAAAAAAAATAAAAGACAAATATACTATCTTATATTCAAATATACACAATAGTCGCTAATAATCGAGGAGCAAATAACCTAAATTACAGCATACATGCCATCTCAGTAATTTTCCTTTTGGCGGTTATATTGACAAGTGGTAGACATCGTTCTTTTTAAATTGTTGCACGGTTATGTCATCCGACTATAAACGTAGGCACCGTATATTATAATAAATATACGTACGCGTGGATTTATGTACCGGCTTTTCGGTTAAAAGCAACTAATATAATAAGCTCCACTGTGGATGGAAGTGAACTCGCACGTTGGTTTTGGCGTGTGTTCTTTAGCTGTAGAGTAACACTAAAGTTAAAGCATGTAATGCGTTGCTCGGTCCAAGCAGATGGCAATTGTCGACATACACATTATTTAAGAGATGTCTAAGGAGCTTGTCTACTTCGACGATTTTGTGCATAAAGTGGATTGTTCCATAGCGTGCCACGTGGGGTTCTCACAAACACACGACTACCAGTTGTCGAGGTTTTATTTTATTTTCTCTTTTCACTTACTTCACCTCAAGAGTTTCTAGGTGATATATATATACTGTTAGCACAACCATCATTTTCTCTAAGTGGTCGTCAATGTCTGTAGTATAACCTCCATATTTCCCAATAATTTTGATAATTGCCAACTACGTAATCCCCAACAAAATAATTACCTAAAGTTTTACAGTTAGTGAACCAAAAATACTACATATGTTAGAAAAATTGCAAGTCTTATTGATTCTTATAGATATACTTTGACTGAGATGTATAGCTGATTAGACATTATTGTTAGAGATATACATACTAAATTGTGGCTACAAAACCAGAAAACCACTATGGGTGGGCCTAAGTATTGCCCCACAACCAAGTTTGAACTTTGACTCATAAACTTTGTATGTATGACCAAATATACAAATGGCATGATGTAAAAAATGTGTAAAATAAAAAAAAGACAACTATACTATCTTATATTCAAATATACACAATGTCGCTAATAATCGAGGAGCAAATAACTAAACTATAGCATACATGCCATCTCCGTAATTTTCCTTTTGGTGGTTTTATTGACAAGTGGTAGATATTGTTCTTTTAAATTATTGTACGGTTACATCATCTGACTATGAAGGTAGGCGCCGTACATTATAATAAATTTACGTACATGCGGATTTGTGTACCGGCTTTTTGGTTAAAAGCAACTCATATTAATAAACTCCACTGTGTATGGAAGTGAACTCTTACGTTGGTGTTGGCGTGTGTTCTTTAGTTGTAGAGTAACGCTAAAGTTAAAGCATATAATGCGTTACTTGGTCCAAGGAGATGCCTATTGTCGACATATTCATTATTTAAGAGATGTCTAAGGAGCTTGTCTACTTCAACGATTTTGTGCATAAGTATGATTGTTCCATAGTGTGCCACGTGGGATTCTCATAAACAGACGACTACCAATTGTTGAGTTTTTTTCTCTCTTTTCACTTACTTCACCTTGAGAGTTTCTAGGTGGTATATAGTTTTGGCACCACCACTATTTTCTCTAAGTGGTCATCAATGTCTGTAGTATAACCTCCATCTTTCCCAACAATTTTGATAATTGCCAACTATGTAATCCCCAACAAAATAATTACCCAAAGTTTTAAAGTTAGTGAACCAAAAATACTACATATGTTAGAACAATTGCAAGTCATATAGTATTTGTAAACTCCACTACTATAGGGCCTCTACCACTCATAGTTGGCTTGCATTGTAACATGACATATTTTTAGTAAAGAAGAAATTTTTATGCAAACTCTTTTTTAGTGGTTAATGCCTTAATGGTCACCGCTTTTTCCATTTCATTAGCATTAAGAAGAAAAAGAAGAGCGGTAATTAAAAATTTGAACAAAGGAAAATTAAAATTACATGTGACGTCTGTATTGTGAGGTAGCAAGCAACAATTGTAAGAAAAACAACTATTGAGCCGTTTGGGAGGAGTGTGTCTTCCTGAATTGGTTGCAACTCTTGACCATAGAGTTTCAGAAAGGCATGGTTGCAACTTGAGCCATATGGATCATGAAAATCTCTATCGGAATCCCTAACACAAAAATGAAACAAACTTTGAGCTATTTCTTTTAAAAAACAAGGAATATACCTATGGCACATAAAGAGAGGATCTTTGCAGTACTGCAGAGAGACTCTAGAACCAGGCTAGTGCTATAGAGTATTTGTTTCCATGGTGAGGATGACAGGTGTGTGGCACTGAGCCGGCCCAATCGTCATTTGGCTTAATTTCATGCATCTTAAATTTGCATGGTTTTATTCAATCTTGTAGATATACTTTGACTATGATGTATAGTTGGTTATACATTATTGTTGGGGATACACATAATAAATTGTTGCTACAGAACTGGAAAACCACTATGGTTGGGCCTCAAGTATTGCCCCACAACCAATTTTGAACTTTGACTCACCAACTTTGTATATATGATCAAACACATAAATGGCATGATGCAAAAAATGTGTAAAATAAAAAAATATTAGACAACTATACTACCTTACATTCATATATACACAATAGTCGCTAATTATTGAGCCGGAAATAACCTAAGCTACAACATATGTCATCTCAATAGTTTTTCTTTTCTTTTGGCGGTTTTACTGAGAAGTGATAGATATTGTTCTTTTCAAATCATTGCATGGATTATGTTATCTGACTATGTACGTAGGCAACGTACATTATAATAAATATATGTACGTGCGGATTTGTGTACCGGTTCTATGATTAAAAGCAATTGATATTAATAAACTCCACTATGGATGGAAGTGAACTGCACGTTGATTTTGGCGTGTGTTCTTTAGCTGTAGAGTAACGCTAAAGTTAAAGCATGCAATGCGTTACTTGGTCCAAAGCAAATGGTTATTGTCGACATACACATTATTTAATTAAGAGATGTCTAAGGAGCTTGTCTACTTCGACAATTTTGTGCATAAAGAGGATTATTCCATAGAGTGCCACGTGGGGTTCTAACAAACACGACTACCCATTATCATGGTTTTTTCTCATCTTTTCACTCACTTCACCTCAGGAGTTTCTAGGTGGTCTATAGTGTTAGCACCACCTGTATTTTCTATAAGTGGCCATCAATGTCTACAATATAACCTTCATCTTTCCCAACAACAATGTCTGTAGTATAACCTCCATCTTTCCCAACAATTTTGATAATTGCCAACTATATAGTCCCCAACAAAATAATTACCAGAGTTTTATAGTTACTAAACCAAAGATAATACATATGT